ACCGAGCATCGATGTCTTTTTATCCGACACCCCCACAAGGCCCTTAAACAGGGGCGCGCCATCCGGCGCGGGGAGCCTGACATGCTCCCTGTACCCCGGAGAAGAAGAAGAAAGAGCTCGTTTGCATTCTGATTCTTCGTCGGATCTGAAAGCCTGCATTCGAAGCCGTCGCTGAGGCCCCATAGTTCTGGAAGAAAGTCTGCACGACCTCGGGCCCCCGGGCCCGGGCTCGGATTCACCGGGCTTCGGCCTGAGCTCGGAGTTCTTCGCTGCCCTGGTCACGGCGCGCGTCGTCTGCGCTTGGCAGGTCCGGAGCACACGCTGCGAGTCCTTGACTTTGGCACGGCACCGAGCACTGCGATGATGGGAGAAGCCGGCAAGGAATTATGCTGGATCGGGGTTGTTATCAGCAGACAATCGGAAGGGCCGTGGTCGTGCTGAGGCCAGGAGAGTCTGGCGGAGGTCTTGCGTCATAGCTGCCAGAGCTCTGAGTCTGAGGGTGTGGGTCCCGGCTTCTCAAAGTTTGCAACGGTGGACCATGCCAAGTCTGGAGCACGATGAAGCTACTACAACTACAACTACAACTAGTAACAATTGATGTGTTCGCGGTCGTGGGGGGGCGGCCCCGCTCTTCGACCTCGTCCTCGTCCTCTTCCTCGCCTGCGTCCTCGTTCTGTTCGTGGTCGTAGCGGTCGTTGTTGTCGTCGTTCCTGCTGCCAGTCATACATGTAGTGTTTGGGTCGTACATGTAGTGTTTTGGTACTTGTAGCCTGGTGTTTCTTTATCCATGACTGTCATAACCCTAATTGTCATGGTCATCTTTGTGGTTACAGCAAATATAGCAAAATAGAACAGCAGGGCCAGGAGGTGTTGGGGAAGAGACGCGCGCAAGATGTCACGGCCCGAAGCCTTTCATCTTGCATTCTTGTCCGTCGGTGCTCCATGGACTGGAATCACTGGAAGTCGCAGATCCTGAACCCCAAGCTCCCGAAGCCAACATCTGACAGCCACGCGACACCCGACAAAATCCGGACCCATGAGGGGTGGAGCTGCCTGCCACATCGGCACAAGTGCTGCTGCCCGGGGCAGAGGCTCCATCAAATCTCGAAGCCACCTCAGGGTTGAGGGGTTGAGGGGCTTCGGTCTGTAATGAATGGGGGATACACGACTTTAAGGTGGACAGACAGACCCATGTAGGTCGTACGCTTTTCAAGGACTTTCTGAATGGCACTGGGAAGACCCTGCGTTGCAAGCCATTATATCGCGTCCTCGCCTCCTCGCTGCAAAATTGGTAATATAGAGGCCGTTTTTAACTACCAATACTATTGTGAGGGTTCCTTATTGTAATGTGTAGATTCACCCCAAACCCAATTCTAACTATAAAGGCCCCTACATTGCACGAGGTAGCCTCCGAATCGCCAAACCCGAGAGCTCCAGCTTCGGCCCCTCGTCGAAGCCCCTCGCGCCTGCAGAAAGGTCTTTGCTTCTGATCCGCTCGACTCACAAAGTCTCGGCCTCGGCATAACACGGGCCCGAGGTCCGCGAGCACCGTTGAGCCGCCGAGCCTTAGCTCTGCACCATTGAGCTGTCAATGTGAGCCTCTGAAGCTTGTCAGCCAAAGCTCACCATACTGACCGTCACATACGTAGTACAATTCTGGTGTTTGAGGGTTCAGTGCTGCCGAGAGAGGCGCATGAGGACTCGTGACGATACAGCGCCTTGAACCAGAGCCTCTTATTTTTCATCGCTGCTCGAACTCGCCGTGGCTCGGAGACACTGGCGAGACAATGCATTCGCATGGGTGTTGATCTCCACGGCGAACAAGCGGACCCCTCTCTTCTATGCAGCAGCACGAGGCAACGTCACAATGGTGAGCTTCCTTCTGAACCATGGCTTTGAAGTTAACTTCACAAATCAATGGAACGAGACTGCAATTTTCTATGCAACGCGAAGCAAACATTCTGAAATTGTGAGATTGCTCATAGAGCACGAGACCAACCCTGATGTGAAGGCCGATTTGGGTGTGACCCCGCGAAGGCTCTTGCGCGACCACCCCGAAGAGCTTCTCAGCTTGAAGCGGAAGCGATCCGCATCTTCCTCGTAACAAGAAGTCGCTTCGCGCGCTGGGAGATTGCAGAAGAAGAAAGAGAAGAGGGTGATGAGCCACTCATCGATGCGGACAAGGCGACTATTCTGGTTCAAAATGATGCCTATTTCGTTTTGCCAAAGCGTCAATGAATGCAAGAAGCGCCTTCGGCGGTCGGAGAGAGATTTCGCAGGGGACCATGCCCACCTCCATGCAAGTCTGCCGTGGTACAAAGATTTAGAGCCCGAAACTGACGGAGAATTGGTGAACGTGCCCCTAAATGCTGGCCAAGCACGGATGGACGGTGTTGACAGGCTGGCACGCGGCTTGCATCGTTCTTCCTTTACACTAGCAGCCGTTTCCAAAGAGACACGCACCATCGCTGGGGATGTGTATGCCACCTTTGGTTCTGAGCACAACAACCTGACAGTAAATGCTTGTCAGGTGACCCTGCAGACCAGGGAAGAGGTTTGGGAGGACTTTTGGAGGCGGCGGAGGCCAACGTCGGGATCGACAAGGGCATCGCAAGCTTCACAGTAAAGCTCTCCGTCTTGGAAACGAATGCGGCGACGAGGAAATGCTATGAAAAGGCTGGTTTCAACGAGTATGGCCGCAGGGACTCTGCATTTCCGCCGACCACGTGCCTGCAGAAAATCCGATGGCAGCGCATGTCAAAGACAGTTGCAATTTTCAGTGTTTCACATGACTGAAGCAGCGATGATTGAAACAACCGCGTAAAGAGCACGTGCTCAGATCCTCGTGCTGGTACTAAAAGGGTCTAGAGTCTAGACCATAGACTTGAGTTTAGAGTGATGCCCCCGGCAAGTTTGTGAACGCACAGGTTCGGAGTTCTCTATACGCCAAATCCAGATTTGGTCCGAGTCGCGAGCACGCGAGTGATGCTGCGATTTCCTGCCGAACGCCCGACGCCGATAGCCGTGAGCACGGCGACCCCAGAAGCCTTTACTCACCCAAAAGACCGCGCAGTACAACACGAAAGGAGCCCCGCGATGCAAGCCATAAGTCGAAATCCAGGTTAATTTTAGATATATGTCACGCCGGCCCAGATGTATGGATCTCGATTGCAAACGTCCTTGATGGTCGGAGTTTAAAGCTTTGGGTTCAAAGGGTTTTTTCGAGCAGTTAATTTGTGGCAACACTGCAATCAGCTGGCAAATTCAGTCTTGTTCAAAATAATGGTGCATGATCGAGAAAGAATTGTTTAAATCTACGAGCAACAGAGACGATCCTAAGTTCCAGAGGTGCCAAGCGGTCTTGATGCGTTGGCGCTTGCAGTTTAGTTTCAAGAACTCCGCCCGGGAGAATACAACCAAACTACTTGGACCGTTTGAGCCGTAAGCCGGTCTGACAAGTGAGTATGTGTGCACACAAGTGTATATATATATATACACATGTATGTATGTATGTATGTATGTATGTATGTATGTATGTATGTATGTACCTTTGTATATATGTATATATATATATATATGTATACGGCAGTACATAGTCCTCCAAGTCCTGAACTTCGGTTCACCCCAAACCCCAAATTCAAAGCCCTTACCCCAAAACCTGAACCCGCCAAGCCTGAAGACTCGTGCGCGTGCTCTTCCCTGAAAGCTTCCCTCTGTGCTGCCGGCCCGACAGAACTCTGAAGAGCCCTTGTCCGACTGTCAACCCCACAGCTACCGATGTCCGACAGCCCCCAGTTCCATTCCGGGCTCAGGGTGCCCCGTCTCCAACAGCACTCCGGTAGATCCCCCTGTGCCCTCGACTCGAAATCCTTGGATTGCAAGGCTGCGCCGAGCCCTTCTCCACGAGCCCCGAGGAGAAAACACAGTACTGTAGCCCTTTTCGCCAAAGTCTGTTGGAAGTGACTCACGCCTAAGCTTAGGATTTTCCGTGCTGCGCTCAGACTGTAGTGCGATGGGTGTTAGCTTGAAGCAGAAATGTAGCTAGGTGTTTGGCGAACACTCAGCTGCTGCACACCAGGGAACCTGGCATGGGAGCATGGGAGGGAGGGAAACGCATGCACAAACTCTAAACTCTCGGCGGGAAAGGCAGGTCCAAGCAGCGAGCAGGAGCCGCGATGCCAGACTTGTTCGGGCTTTGATGCCCAAGACAGGTCGAGCCTGTTCCAAAGCTTCGCAGTTTATCTGAACCGGAATATACGATAGAGCCACGACCTGTGAGAGCCACAGGCGAGACCTCAACCAACAGTTCAACTCACTGTTGAACTTGCCCGTCCCAGCTGGAGTTTACCTGAATCGGGACACTGAGAGGAGTTTGAGCCCATACGAGGACCATCCGGCTCTTTCCGACGAGATCCCTGCCACCGACCTGTTCGACGAGTCGACCGATGAGGTCAAAGGCAGCCTCGGGTTGCACTATCATCCCCACCTTATTGTCATGAGCATCACCATATCATCATCTTCAACACCATGGTTATGGTTATGGCCAACACCACGATGACAGTTCTGATGGTGTTGATGATGATTCTGCGTCTTGCTGCTGTGACGAGCTTGGCTCGTAGTTGCCCTGCCATGACTGCTCAAGGGTTTATGGATCAAGGGGTTAAGGCTTGCGGTCTACATTGTTGCACCCTCCAATCCAAAGGGCGCCACTACTACCACTGCCTCTAGTACTTGTGCGACGGCGACGACGACGACGAGTACTACTACTGCCACTACCACTACCACTACCACTACCGCGATGCCGATTCCTACTACTATCACTGCTGCTGCTGCTGCTCTACTACTGCTGCTGTAGTAGTAGTAGTAGTAGTAGTCGTCGTCGTCGTCGTCGTCGTTGGCGTCGTCGTCG